TCAGCTGATAATATTTACAAATGGAGCCCTCAATGCTCTGAATTTTTACAAGCTGTTTTTTTAAATTCAGTGGTGCACACAGTGCAGTACCTTCCTTCTTGAAATTCATATGGTTCCGTCTGTGACTGACAGGGTCCAGCTTCGTTGTGCAGTTGGGTGGATGGGCCAATTATGGCTATGAATGTGTAAATGGGATGAATGAGAGAAATATGTAACTGATTCTGGCTGTGGTTCATTAGCACTGTGAATGCACCACACTCACTTCTGTAAGGGAAGGAATGAGATCAACTTATTTGTACTTTTTTAGTCATTTGGAAAAGCTCACTGTGCTAATATTTTTGCCATCTATTGTCACATTTTCAAAGAACAAGGGAAGAGTAAATTACACTGTGAGTAATTTATGTCAGTCCTCCAGGTTGGTTTTTGAAGCACAGTCACTTCTTTTCACCCTTTTCAACTGGAAGTCGTGTTTCATCCTTGCCCACACTGCTCTGCCCTTTCTTCATAGCAGTACAGGTAAAAACTCGTGTGAGAAAAAAATCAAGTTAAGGTGTATGGATTGAATTTTTAAGAAAAAGACCTGGGAAAACAAGCCTCATTGGCCTTTTTCTGCATAAAGTTTGTACTCTACAGCAGTTGTAGTTTCATTTCTGAAATATCTCCTTTCCTTATAAACACTGTTTTAAACCAACAGCTTCATTAGCATTAAAAGCAGTTTGATCCATTGTTGTGGCCTGAATCCCAGATAAGGAGATACCTTCACTGGGGGCTCTCCACCTCAATGTACTATTAAAAATGTAAGCAAACATCTCTGCTCTGTGTATGCACAGTGATTTGCAGACCCATGGACTGCAGCTTTCTTTTTAATGAAGTTTCCTATCAGTGTGCTTGGCTGGAAAACTGACCACAGTAAATCAGCAACTTCACAGCAGTGCTAGCAGCTTCTTCTGACATTAAAGTTAAAATACTACAAATGGTTATAGTGGCATTCTCTGAGTGATGACCATTCCCTTTTTTGACCTGCTTACTTGGTTTTGACGATTAAAAAAAAACATGTTTTGGTTTTTGGGAAATGTTTGCATCCCTTACTCCTGTTTGACCTCACTGAGAAGCGCTTGGACCCCAAAGGGTGCAGATGCTACAAGAGCAAACAGGAGACAGCTTTTCCAGCCAAACTAAATTTTTTTTGAGTTTCTCAACATCTTCCCCAATTTAAAAGTCTTTAAGTGATGAGACCACTTCTGTGTCATGCCATTGTGTCCACAGTGTACCTTCAGACCGTGTCATGCCATCCCCACAGCTGGTGCTCCCAACTGCCTTGCTGCTGCAGTTGTTTTGCCTTCTCTGGTGAAACTAATTCCTATGAATCTGTCCTGTGGCAATCCTTTACTGTTGTATTTTCCTTCAGAAAGCCCATGTTCTTCCCCAGGGTGGATCCTTGTTCTGGCTGGGTGTGGAAGGTGCCAGCTAAGACTTGCATATCCCTGGTTGTCCTTGCCAACAGTGCTGGAAGTTTACGGTTGAGGCTGGCTGCTGTAGTGGGTGGTCAGAACAGCAGGGCAGCAGTTCTGCTCTGAATTTTCTTGTGGACAAATGTCTATACACCTCCCCTATGGCACATACTCCTCCATCCTGCAGCTTTATGCAGGGGATAATATGTGAGCAGAAAGGAAACTATTGTGACAGACAAGCTTGAAGTTTGACAGCCTTTGTTGATGTATTAAAAATAAATGGTGCTGCTTCAGCCTGTGAAGTCTGATTCTCTGCATGAACCGAAGGAGGGGGAAGAGCTGTTTTGTTTCCTGGTTTGTTTCCTTTATGCCTGTATAATCTCAAAGGGTTTTGCCCACCTGCAAACTTTAAGGTATTTTGGAATAGTTAAGCAGAATAAGTTCAGTGTAGTTGAGCTTACTGTAGTTGTAGTTTCCTATGTAGTTTAGGAAATATATGTGTACATTGATTTTATTGTCAATGTCCAACCATAAAATTACTACTTCCCTCTTTGTCTGCTGACCATCAAGCACTGGCATATTAGTAATGCTGCTCTGCTGATACAATCTTTGTCATGTGTTTCAGTATAATAATGTGCCTAAGAAAAGCAGTTCTTTGCCAATAATATGCTGTAAACAGTTACAATAGTTGTGATATTTTATAAACCAGTTCACAGAATCACAGAATGCTTTGGGTTGGAAGCGACCTTAAACGTCATCTAATTCCAAAGCCCCTGCTATAGGATGCCTCCCATTTGATTGTGTTGGTCAGGGCCTGTTCAATTCATAACCATCTTTTGTGTCCTGTCTAAAGAACCACCTCTTATGGACTTGGAAAAATTTAAACATAAAAGCTAATAACTGCATTAAATGTTACTTATTTATGTGAAGTATCTGGTACAGCAATACAGGATTGCTGATGAGTTGCTATGAAAATGCTAAATTGGGAAGTTCTGCAAAAAAGGTGACAAAAACATTTTGCATTTATTGAGCAAAACTAGCATTATTAAACTAGTGTTTAATAATGAAAGATCAAAGGAATGGAGCTAAAGATTTAGTGAGTGAAATGTATCTAGAAATTATACTGTGGGAGTTTTATACAGAAGGACCCTGGCAAGAATTTGGTACTTGGTCTGTTCCCCAAAACTCCTTCTTGCCTTTAATTAATCAATGAATAATTTAAGCCATTATACTTCAGCTTTCAAGGAGCTGCACACTGAAATGCAAGAAACTCAGCCTTAGCCAAAATAGGGAAATATTGATGATTCTTTTATTTTCTGCTTCATCCTTTACACATTCTTTTAAAGTTGGTTTTACAGTTGTTCCTTAATTTGTTTGTTGGCTGCTGGGTACTGTGAATTCAAAATTCATCATGGTAACTCCGATCTTGGTCTCTGTAAATGTAGAGGGAACTTGACTGCCATGAGATTCATGAGTATTTTCCTTTCCCTGTAGAATCATTTAGCTTGGAAAAGACCTCTAAGGTCATTGAGTCCATCCAGTAACCCGTGCTGCCAAGTCTACTGTTAAATCATGTCTCTGGCTCCGTAAGTGAAGTTCACCTGTTGTAAAATAAAAAAACAAGGGGAAAAAGTCGAGAAGTTGTTGGGGTTTTTTTTCCTTTTCTCTGAAGTTGCCAGAACTTCCAAATAGAAATGTTCCTTGGAACGTTTCAACCTCCAGGAAACTGCTATAGTCATGAACAGAAATTACAGTCTTTGGTAATGGAAGTACTCACATAATTATCTCTGCACACAGAAGCAAATTTTAAACTAGCTCTTTCCTATGTTCAAGTCCTTTCTTAATAGCTCTCAGTTTATGATTGTAGCTAAAAAACATGTAAAAGTATAACTTCTTTCTGAACTCACAGGTTGTTTTAGTGTCCTGCTGCCATCCCCCTCGTCAGTGGATAAAGTGGATAAACTGTTGAAGGTTCAATGGTAGGGAGGGTTCTCTGGAGTCACTACCTGGCAGCTGTGACATTCAACAGAAATTACCCAATCTGTCCATCTTGTTCCCACAACTGGAGAAAATTACTGTGGTCAAAATGGAAAGAAGAGTTCTCAACCTTTTATTTACTTCACAGGAGGGAGGGGTTTCTGTAGCAGTTGTGAAGTTTAGCTCTTATAGGTTTCAGTTTCCATCACAGTGGATTCCTCAGTGTTTCTGGGCACTGGGACTCAGATGTGCTTTTATTTCCTGATTTATCAATACTTTGTGGCTATAGAAAAGATTCTGAATTTTTCAGAAGATTATGGCTGAGGCTAAAAGCCACCTTTTAAATAGCAGAGAGCAGGACTTGACAGATGATGTCTCAAAAAAAAAAAGTGTGCATTTTAATGTTATTTTGTCTATTTTCTCTTATGTTTTGGCATTTTTTGGATGGAAATCATCAAAACCAGCTTGGACAAAGAACAATGGTGTTAATTCTGTAGGATTTGTGAGTAAATTAAAATATTCTGGAGTGTAGCAACACAGCAGATGTTGCTTGGAAACCTGACCCACATGGGACAGAAACACAACCTAAAAGGGGACCAGCAGTACTGCAGTTGAAAGTGTTGGCCTGATCCCTGTTAGTGCAACATTGAAAATAAAATAAAAATAGTGCCACTGTTTATTTCTGCTATACATTGTAGGAAATTATAAAGAAATGAAAAAAAAATCTGCCACCATAACTCATTTTCTTATGCTCACATATATATAGAAGAATGATGTGTAAAAAGTAAACGTTTTTCATAATAGTTGGGGGGATAGGAAGGGGGAGATCAAAAAAAATCATGGTACCTTTTAATTTGCAGATATCTTTTCAACACTTTTTACTCCAGGCTCTTAAATTTATTTTTCTTTCAGCACTGTAGAGACTTTGATTGATTGCAGCATCAGATTTTGATGAGTCCAAAGGCATCACACCTGAGATGACTGTGCTTTCTCTTTTTGCTCGTTATAAATTTCTTCAAACAGAATATTTTGTTTTATTGCATGGCATCTCCATCTGGTCTGATGTGAGAGGAAAACATGTTTTTTGAATAACCAACACATTCCTGAGTCTCAACTTTTCTTCTTTTCAAATGGTTACTGAGGAAAAACAAAGATGACCTATGTATCACCAACTATGCTGAGGTTCTGTATAGGGAACTTTCCCAGTGAGTGGGTTTCAAGGAGTGAGAACGACTGTTTCAAAGTTCTGCAGTATTTACAGTTGTAGAGGCTTTAAGATATAGAGGATTTGTGCAAACTTTTCATCTCTCCAGTGTGTGCATTGCAGTAGACATGTAACAAGCATTCACTGTATCTTTCTCATGTTCGCCTTTAATACAAATCCTTCAAAATTTAACCTTTACTGATTTATGTTTAATTATTGCACATGCAGACTATGGTGTGTTTTCCAGCTAAATACATTTGTTTATTATTGTTATTCCTACCTTTGTGTGTAGCTATAATACCAGACTGAATTGGTGTGTGACACAGTAGCATCTTTTAATGTTTATCTTCTTTTTTTATTCACTGCAGATGTGATCCATACTGTTGGGCCAATTGCAAGAGGCCATCTCACTGACACTCATAAAGAAAACTTAGCAAGCTGCTATAAGTCCTCTCTGAAACTGGCAAAAGAATACAACATCAGATCAATCGTAAGTATTGTGGGAGAGCATATTATTGTTTTTTCTAGTTTGGATCTTACTTTCCTTGATATAGAATAATTATGATTGTAAGCTTCCAGATACATTTCTTACTCTTCATACTATGAGAACCCAAAAAATTAAACATTATTTTCCAGAACAATTGCTAGATGAAAGGGCTAAGCTTATTTTAGGAGTTAGGCAAAGTGTGCCTGGTAGTAGGAGTACAAGAAGCTGTCTCATTAAAGGAGGGAGGAAGCTGATCCTATGGCTCAGTCTTATACTGTATTATTTATTAAAAAAACCCTAAAAAGCCACTGGTCAGGAGGATAACTGCATGCAGTATAGCCTTCTAAATAGCTAAGAAGTGATTAATTTGTTACTTATTAACAGTTCTTCCTAAAAATAAGGGTATTGGTCAATTGTTACTGGTTTTAACACCCTCTCACCAAAATCGATGATAAAATACCCTATTATGTGATAATTTCATTGAATATAAAGTTCATTGAACTTGAAATACATAGTATAGTGTTTTCCCTCAAAGTGCCAAATTTTCAAAGGCCACAGAGGAAAGGAGCTTTTCCCTCTCCAGCTCCAGAGCTTTAATTCTGTAGCTGACAAGGCTGCAGCTTAAGTCTTCACATATGCATAGGTTAGTTCCTTGTAGGTTTGAGAAAGAATTTGCATTCTAAGCCTGACTTTCACACCTTTGGGGTCATTTTGGCTGGTTCTATGATGGCACATACATTAGAATGCAAACATACACACAATCAATCTTAAAAAATGTCAGCTGAACCAATGGTGTTTTATGAAGATGTAATATTCAGTAAGAGGAAGCTATTAACACTGAAGTATCACAAATGGAAAATAAAGCTTTTTGAGGAGAGGGGCAGGACAGTTTGTAGGGCTTTGAACTGAAGTTAGATGTGCCCTTCAGAGTCAGACCTGATGAATATCACTTATTTCTTTCTTTTTGGTGAGAGCTCTGCTCTTCAACACTTTTTGTGCTCATGACATCCTCTCTCTGCTTCTCAAAATGGTGCCCAGCAATCCCTCTTTTTGTCATTATACAAACCATTGTGGGGTCTGTTTTCTTTGGTGGGTTTGAGGTTGTTTTTTTTTTTTAATTCTAGGCATAAAAATTAGAGCTGAAAGTAACCTAGGGTTGGTGGGCATGTTTTGAACCCCTCTCTGGTGTTGTTTAAAGACTAAAGGATGTTCATGTCCTGCTGCAATTCTTATTGGAGCCAGTAAGAGCTTTGTGCAGTTGTTCCTACATCCATCCTTGTTTCTGCCTGCTCTGGGCAATTACAGGCTTTTAGGGCATTCAGATTAGTTTGAATAAAGTTCCTGATTTGATGTGGGAAAACAAAAACAGAATAGTAATTGTGAAAGGGTGTAAAAAAAGAGTATTGAAATAACAAAGGAAAAGCTTTACTGGGCATTGGTTAATGCAGGTAATGCTTGTATATGTAGAGAGTCCGTAATTTTTAGGACATTCTATGTGGTAGCATGGTGTTTAACATGGAATAATACAAAGGGATTGTAGTCACAGAGAACTAGCCTGGTATTTCATGAAAACCAGCCTGATATTTTGGGAAACCTGGCCTGATATTTTAATGAGAAAAGATAACCACAGGAGAAATCATACACAGGTTATTTCCTTGCTGGTGGTTAAGAGTTGTTGCCTGTGCACCTGTTTGAGATAAAACATGCTCAGCACCCAGACTTGCAGAACACAGCTGCACAAACTGAACAGGAGCCAAGAGCCATTCATTCATAGCAGCATTTGGAAGCTTAGCAAGCAATATGGATTTTAAAGGCCACATGACAGATCATGGACTGTTCTGAAAAGCCCTAAGTCCAGTGATTTCAGTGATGCCTTGAGAAGTGAAGGCTACTTGAGTGGTCCTAATGACCAAACCAAGCCTGGACAAAAGTAAGATGTATAATTCATTCAATTAGGGAGCAGTAGTTTACTGTGAGTCTGAAGGAAAGGAATGCAAAGTGTAAGTGGGTTTCACAAGATCCAGTACTGTTGATGTAGAGGGAAAGAAAATGAAGTGATTTAAAATATCCACAGATTTCTGAGGCTTGCAGAGACCTGATAGAGTGAGCAAAGGATTCAAACTGACTCAAATAGACAACATTTGAGTGTCGATTGGATTATGGCAACAGAAATATTTTCAGTCTGAAGAAGACAGACAAAAATTGGGGAGGAAAAAAGTTTACCTGTGTAAAATAAGGAAGAGAAAATCAGCTGTGCTGATGGATGGCCTATTTTGATTGCCTCTTTAACAAGAAGATGAAGTAAGTAGGTGAATGAGAAAAACGAGGATTTTTAAAGTAGATTATGAGTAAAAGGAGGAAAAGCAATATGTTAATGACACATACATAAATAGGTATTGGTGATAGCAAGTTGCAGTGTGCTAGAAGAATTAACTAAACCAGAGAGCATCAGTGCACTAGCAATTGTAATAACTGAGAAGGAAGCAGGAAGACATTGGGTTGTAACAGCACAGATCTGTTACCTTCAAAACAGAAAGGACAAATCTAGAAATTATTGCAAAAAGAGGAAAAAGCCCCACCACAACTGGAAGTATTTTGAACATGAATTGTGTCAAAGGAGTTAGAATTGCTGGAGGCATTATGAATAGAGGGTGATGATGAATTGCAACATATTGAGCTGGACCAAAGCATGCAGGGTGACTCAGGGTGCACCTGAGTCTAAACTAAATGCAGTTTAATTTAACATCTTAATGATTTCTGAAGAGTACATAAACACCTCATTAATTACATTTATAAATGATACTACAATAGGCAGTGTTGCAAGCACTGGAAAAGGACAGAGATATATGATAACAATTGATCAGAGACTGAATAGAACCTCATCAGCATCCACTCCAGTACCAGAAGGGAGTTTCTGCCTTTGTTGCAATGGAAGAGAGGTCAGAAATGTAGTTGACAGCTACAGTGGAACTCAGCACAGGAAATGATGGAGTAGCATGTGGTGGGGAAAAAAACCAGTTCACAAATAGTCAAAGTGTGTCGGAAAACCAGCACAATGAGGAAATGGTCTTGAATAGTAAGTCTCAAATTAGATGTACTTAAAGCAGTTACTTGTTTCACTATTAGATATTGTTGATCTGCCTCTGGAGAAATGATGGATGCCATAGAGATTGTATTTCAGTTCAAAGTGGACTGGGAAGAACAGGAATAGGATTCAAAATAGACGCAAACTCTGTTATACATATGTGTATGTAGTTGTTTTACACACTGAGGAAGGGAAGCAATTGCCTTGAAATATTGAGCGAATGCTGAGATGAAGCTTTATGGAGGGGAGGAGAGAACGATAGCATTGTGTGTGTGATAACAGGGCAATTATATGGTGTAGCTGATTGTAATTTAGGTTGCTTTCACATCCAAGATGTCCAGACATGGATGAGAGCAACTCTGGCTAACTCCTAAGGGAGCACTGATATCTCATCTGAACATGTTAACATCTTCGTATCTAAAAAAAAGCCCAGAAAGATGGGTACAAGTGAAAATGAGATGAGGGAATGTGATGAAATGCCCGTCAGAGTGACTGCCAAGGTTCATAATCCACCAAAAGCCCGGCTGTGGGTGAGGATCTGCATAGACATTAAGGCAGGAAGAAAAGCCTCAGGAGCAAATTTGATCATCCTCAGGATTGCGCAGAGAAATCACACAGCCCCTGACATTTGTCTCCTGAGCCTGTTTCCTGAAACGTTTTATATTCAATATGAGGTTTCAAATGCCATATCAGCTATTTTGTACAGAGTCAGCCTCTCTCAGGTCATCTACTCCATCTGCCTTCTAGGTTACTGAATTTTGTGTTTATGTGTGTCCTTGTTATCTTGCATTTCCAAATCCACGTGTTGCTTTTTTCTCAGCACTTGTTTATGTAGCTGTGCTCCCTCTAGGACACTTGTGCTGCTGTCTGACTATTTGTGTGGTCAGGGTGAACCTTTTGTCTTGGATGAGTCTTATTTCTATAATCCTCTGTCTGGTGAAAGAGGATACTTGAGACAGGATTCTGTTTATCTCCACTTAAGTTGGTACAACTGAATGGGAGAAAAAATATTTAAGGCAATTCAAAAAGAGTAAATAGCTGGTGTTTGAGCAAATTAATTTTCTTAAATGTTCAGAATAATCTCTTAATAGTAAAAAAATTGTATGTTGATGTTGTTCTCTTTTGCACAATACTAAGGATTGCTATAATGCATCAATTAAGTCTCTGCTGCCTGGAGCACTGGAAATACATTACAGGACCAAATCTTTACTGAAAGAAGATATTGTAAAAAACAGTCTAATAGGTGCTTTTTTTCCCCCTGTTTTTCTGTACTGGTTTTCTAAATAAGATTCTTACAGCCCAATTAAGTGTAAGGTTATCAGACAGACTGGGGCAGTTGTAATCACTGTTTTCAGATTTTAAATTGGTCCCCTGTTTACACAGCCTTTGAAATTATTTACTCTGTGTGCTCTAAGTTTTTCCTGGGACCTCTCATCCTACTTTTCTTTGCATGCACTTCTTTGAAGCCATCTGATACCCTGGAAGCTTTCTGAACATCAAACGCTTCCCTGCCACCTATTTTATTCAGACTTCACTTGTGGTTAAAAAAATTTCAATTAATTGCTGTCAGTCAGATCGCAGTTAGACAGGGACTTTATGAACTGCACAGAAAATAAAAAAAGATGGTGTGTGTTGCTGTGGGTGGGATTCAAGCCAAAAGAGCTGCAGTGTGTTTGCAGAGAAGGGAAATGTGTGCTGGTCCCTCTCTCAGAAGGCTGAGCAGGCTTCCTGTACAATGGTTAAGGAAATGGAGTTCTGTTTGGGACTACAACTCTGCTGTTGTTCAGGACTGTGCTTGGAATTGCAGTCTTCAGGAACTCTTCATGTTGGCAGGGGGTGAATTGTAAAGCTTTAACAAGAAGCATTTCTTTAGGCTGCACCCTCTGACCTCCACCTCGAGGGAGAATTATAGGGGACC